TGTGTGTGTGTGTGTGTGTGTGTGTGTGTGTGTGTGTGTGTCAGACGGGGAGAAGTGGAGGATGATGGTGAACATGCAGGTCAGATCATGTTTCCTCCTGGTTACATAACCCAGCAGGCCAGCTGCCTTTGAACCCTCAGCAGAGGTTAACTCAAGCTAATCAGGAGAAGCCAGTACAGTCCTGGATTACAACACAGCCACATGGCCCAGCCAGGCTTCTCTTCCAGGCAAGGCTCCAGCAGGGGGCACTGGTTTCCCTAATCCACGTGAGGTGGCTATGTCTTGTTTTGACCTCGATATAAGGGCCTTCAAAAGTCGAGCTGCTTGACAGGAAAACGCTTTCCTATGGGGGCTATAACCCTCAACAACATCCAGCTGCTTCCTTGTATTAAAAGGGAGTAGTTGAGGTGCTGTGGGCACCATAATGCCATCCTGTGGAGGTATTCCCACACGGGGACATTAGTTTGGTGAGTGCCCCAGACATGAGGACGCAGTAAAAAAGCGTATATTTATTTATATAATCTAGTGTCCACCACAACTCTAACAATGCGCCGCTTATGGTCGAGTTGTGGAAAGTCTCTTCAAGGCCTCCCTTGTAGCTACGTCATGAGCAGTGCTCTGGTCCGATGGTCTGGTCTCATGTGGGTCTTTGCCTGTTCCTGTGCAGATCCCAGTGGCTCCCCAGCGTGTGACCAGTGCCTTCCTCGGTACGGCGGCCCACAGTGTGACCAGTGCAGCGCCGGCTTCTACAAAGCATCTAGGCTTTGTGTTCCATGTGACTGCAGTGGGAACGCAGATCCTCAGGGCCCCCCCCAGCTCTGTCACCCCGACACCGGCCAGTGCCTCCGCTGCATCAACACCACCACCGGGCCCCAGTGCCAGCGCTGTGCTCCGGGCTTCATAGGGGACGCCCCAGCACATAACTGCACCCGCCCAAGTAAGACCAAAGCACAATGTATGATTCCATACTTAATATCTTCTCTATATGCGGCACATTTGCATATCCTTTGTGAGGAACTATAAGTACGTGAAGATCATCGTGGACTGATTCTAACTGTTGTTTGATTAGCACACATGCCAGCCTACAGACTAGAACCCATAGATCTTTGCGTGAGGTGTTGTTGGAGCTCAAAGCAGTAAAAGAAGGAACATTGTGTGCTGGTTCTGGCTCCGATTTTGTTCAAGAAGCAGAAGACCTTTTGCCAGCGAGATGTCAATAAAGCACACCTACACAGTGCTGAGGAGCTGCTGTTATTAAAAGTTCATAATACGGCTGTAGTAAAAACAGAATGTTGTGAACAGCCCTTTCCTCTCTTAAGAGCAAACAATCAGTACTTTCACAAATACTGAAATATTAGTAAATAAGAACTAATAAACATAACGATGACAACAACCCATGTGAGTGGATCAGGCAAAAGTAACTAAGTCCTCAATCACTCCGTATTTACTCTACTGTTGTACACCGATAGTGTCCTCACCACTTTGTACAACAATGTAATGCTTTTTATAGATCTGTCAAAATGACAATAAGGACTGACTCGTGCAGCTGATCTATTGATCAGGACCCTACTCAGGGACTACTCGCAACAGAACATCAAATCCTGTTAAAGGTTCCACGGACCAGCCTCACAAAGAGGGCGGCTCTGCTTTTACCATCAACACTGCTGGAACACACAGTCAGTGCCTCAGTTTAAAGCACTTTTAAAACCGTTAGTTTTTAATGTGGTTCTTTTATGTTTGATCAGTTTTTTGCAGCTTCTGTGTATGACGTAATGTTTCTGTGAGGCTCTTTGTAACTCTGAGGCGCTGTAGAAATAAAGCTTGTAATTATTATTATCATAAATAGAAATTGATAGTTATGTCTTTTTGCCACAAGGTGTCACTAGTTACTTTGGCAAACCAGCATTCTGCTACATATTCAGTAGTCACAGGCCTTCCTATGTTGGCCTATGAGGGTTGTGAAACATAATGTTCACTAATGCTTTTCTCTCCTCAGCACCCCGGCTCCTTCCCACACCAGCAGATACGACCACATCGGAGGCCCCCACGTCGAGTACATCTTCCCCGTCCATGACCACCACCAGCTCCACTCTGACCTCCGCCACAGCAAGAGGCGTCCCGGCTTCCACGTCCAGCAGCAACACCAGCACCGCACTGAGCACTGCTGCCACCACACAGGCGTTGTTGACCAGTCTGAGCAGCCCCACTGACAACACCACAGCGGCCCTGACGGAGGTCTCCTGGACGCAGTTCAACATCATCATCCTGGCCGTCATTATTCTGGTGGTGCTGGTGCTGCTGGGCTTCGTCGGAGGCGTGTACACCTACAGAGAGTACCAGAACCGCAAACTCAACGCCCCCTTCTGGACCATTGAACTGAAAGAGGACAACATCAGCTTCAGCAGCTACCACGACAGCATCCCCAACGCTGATGTGTCAGGCTTACTGGAGGACGAGGCCAATGAGGTGGCTCCCAACGGCCAGCTGGCACTCACCACGCAGGGCAACTGCTACAAGGCTTAGCTCTGCATCCACCCCGAAACTTTACCGACGACACAAAGCTGCTGGGAAGTACCAAATCCAAAGCTCCTTCATGTATGCCTGCTTGTTGTTACCCTGCTGGTCCGCGGCACTTCACAACACAGTGAGATCTCGCAGATTCGATCAAAGATATGGAAAAGAAACGCAGAGCTTTCACTTGAAACGTGTTCCCTGTTTGATATGATTTAGTGTGGAATGGGTGATCAGTGAAAAGGGTCCAAAGAAAACCCGTGTTTGGTTGAGTTGTGGCTGCAGAGAGCACTGGTGTGCAGATCAGTTGGGTAGTTGGCGTGACGCCTGTTGGCTGAAGCAATGACCCTGACGCTGGTGAGAGGACTCACAGGAGCCCAGCATTTCAGATATTTTTTTAAATGGACTCTTGACTGTTTAAGTTATAAGTGGATCACATGAACCGTGATCTAAAACTGAGACAATGATTGTTATTTAATGCATTTTTATTCCTTTCTTATTTATTGGTTGACGTTTCATTCTTGGAGGAATGCTGCACACGTGTGGTGTGTTTATTCATGGTGTTTGATCTTCTGTGCTGTCAAATGTATTTGCCCAATATGTTTCCATGTATAGTTTGTGTGTTTGGGAGAGGATCACGGGGAACATGAAGGGTGCTGGCTCAAAGCGTTTTAATGACCTCATCTTTTGTTCACAGCTTCCTGTCTTTTGTTAAAGCGTGCCAGCTCACCTGCGTATCGACGAGGAGTGTTTCTTTTGACGCAACTACCGTTTAACAACTCTCGCCACCTAGCACTGCTGCACGGTAGTGACTCAGGCAGGGCTCACATAAACCACCATAATCTGCTGGGATCTTATCTGCTCTTTGCTACCAGCCTCAACAATAAGTTGAACAAAGCATTTGAAAAAGGTGTGTGGCTGTTGTTTAGGCTGCCATTGGTTGGGTGCGCTTCATTTCACCACGGATATGAGTAAAGCTAATTACTGAACTAACTCCTCAGGTACTGGCTCTTTCCCTAACGTGATCACTGTAAATATGATTATTGTACAGATGAATGTGAATAGTAGCACTATTATTGTACAGGTAGAATACTGTGTGTACGATGTCACTCAACAAGCACCCACCTGTCACTCTCCAGGGTGTGACTCTGCAGTCAGCCCACCGCTTTTTCTATTTTTATTTCTTTATCCAGGTGGACTTTGCCATATACGCAGCTGCGGGACTAACATGCACCCGCAGAACTCAAAACAAAGAATACAATGATGTAAATAATACCCCAAAATCAGAGGTCAACTCTCAAATAAAAATGGTATTAACTGTTGTCTTTGTGTTTCTCACTTACAAAACATAAATCACTGCCACGCTTTAAAGTTCATGTAAAAAAATACTCTGCTCTGAATAATAATAATAAGAGTCTGATCTTGGTGATCTTGGAGGTTGATAACTTTGAGTTAGATGTGATGTCACAGATGCTGCTGGATAGCAGACTTCTAGTGTCACTCTGCACATGCATCGTTCTGTACGGTGAAGCTCACACGTCCAAGTAACAACAAGCGGAACACGTTTTAATGATCAATGATGTATTCATTATTCTGCCTCACCTATTGGATCTGCAGATCACTCGTTTCTACCGTGTTGCCGCTCTCTTAACACTTTATTTTATTTGCTGCAGCAGGATGAGCACTGACGTCTCTGAGACATCCTGGCTGTTACACTTCCCTCCGTCTCCCATCCAGAGTGCAGCTGCTGAGTTTTTTTGAATGCTTTTTTGTTTAGATACCTGAAAAAGGTCTGTGTTCAACACATGCTTAAGATACTTTAACCGTTTGTTCTACGATATAAAATAGGTCAGTAAATACCCCTCTGGTGAATTTGGGAGCCTTTACGCATCTTAAAGTAGGTGGATTCTATCAAGAGTGTAAATGAGACGACTAAGCGTCCTCACTAGGACACTAGTCCTCCTTCAGCTTAGTGGTGGAGACATGAAGTCATGTGACCGTGTTGTGTGGTTGGGTTAAAGCCTAACCCAGACTGTATTCACACTTCAAAAATCATAAAAGTGGCATTCACTTTGTGAACATTATTTTGCCGAAGAAAACGTGTTTGTTTGCCACAGAGATTATTTTCTGACATTACCCAAAATCTAATGAAAGAATCCGATTGGCTTCTAACATCTGGGTTGGCCTACAAACATACATCATCCCTGCAGCACTCTTGTTATTTATTACTGTATAAATCTGTCCCTCACATTCTCATGGGAGGTTGTTCTATGTAACTATACTACTACTACTATGCTATAACAATCTAATCTAATCGAGTAAATGTTCTCTGTTGACCTAATATTCAGTTCAGAGTATTGAAGACTTCAGTTACAAGACATCGTTGGGGATCCTCGATTGAAGATCAGTAGTGCTGCTGTAGGTAATTCCTACCCAAGTATGTAACGTAACTTCAAAACAGGAACACCAGACAGCTGTAGCCTCCTTTTAGGAGGTAGGAGTGAAAATGAATCCTCGTCAACATTTGTTGTGTTATGGTTTTAGAATGAAGACATTTGGATAATTACATTTTTCAATTCAATTTATTTTTTATAGTCACAAATCACACATTTACCTCAGAGGGTTTTACAATCTGTACACATACGACATCCTCTGACCTTTGACCCTCACATCGTTACAGGAAGAACTCTCCCAAAAACCCTTCAATTAACGGGGAGAACAGAGGAAGAGACCTTGGAGAGCAACAGAGGAGGATCCTCTCTCAGGATGGACAGAAGTGTGATAGATGTCATGTGTACAGAATGAACAACATTACAGAGTTACAATACATTCAATGCATATGACAGAACCAGGGCAGGAGGCCAGACCAGGTCCAGGTAGAACCAGGATCCACAGGAACCTGCGAAAAACAAGTCAGCCCTGTCTCCAAAAAATGATGTTCCCATTCAACATATTTAGTCGTGGATTGCATTTACTTTTGATGTCACACAAAGTTTCAAATGAGAAGATCACAGGACCTCCACCCAGCAGACTGCTGTGAATCCGGGGGTAAAGAGGTGTGAGCTGATCTGCCAAAACTAATCGGAAACCAATTGGAGTGGGAGTATGAAGGTGTGTTCACCGTAATCCTGTCGTGCTTGTAGTCTCCGATAAGATAACCTCTCAAAGAGGAAGTTCGTGTTTGGGTCACAACACCGAGTGAAACTGTCAAATACTTCTCCCAATGCACTGGATTTCACGTGGGCGACACCACGCTCATAAATAGAGATGGTCGGCGGCTGATACGTCACCGAGACACCGCTTGCATGGAGGAAGAGGGCTGCTACAGCTGCGGCTGCAGCGGAGGGGAAGCAGGACTACACCGGCAGGACATGTTGATAGAACTTCTCCGGCAGAAAGAGACGCGACATCAGCGGATGGCTCATCTTCTAGCCGTGACGCTCCTACTGCTGCTTTCAGGAGCTCTGGCTCTGCTCGTCCCGCTTGTGTTCGGAGCGCGAGGCCAGCAGGCACCGGACAGCCAGGTAACTACGTCCGTACCCGAACCGTCCTTCAGCCAACACGCGCTGCTGGGACTAGTGTTGTTTGGGAATTACTCACCTTTCTGTCCAATTATAAATTACCAGTTTATTTCAGTAACGCAAAGGTCTCTGTATCTTTTGAATGTGCTGCTCTAAATGAAAAACGTTCTGCTAACATAACGTTGGGATATTTGACCGTCGTTATAATTCTATATGCTTTCTAAATAGGTCAATGTGCATTTCCTGTTGGAGTGTTTGCCAAAGTTGGCAAGTCCACTGAAATAAACCGGAGGCTAGTTTATAACGTTCCCTGTCCGTGCAACAACTCACAGGTGTTTACAATGACCACAGCCTGCATGGTAACTCATGTAGCCTACCAATCCCCTCAACCAATAATGCTGAAATAGACACTCAGATTACTGTAACATTCTCTGACATGTGGTCCAATCTTCATGAATAACATCTGTTGTGTGCCATTTACATTTCCTACTGTCCATGCTGACTCCTAAGGGCAAGGAGGCTACATGTTGCACACATGTTCCGTTAGTAATCAGAGCTTTAGCTTCAGTAAAACGTTTCGTTCACCTGATCGCTCAGTGCATTTCTTGCCTAAAGGGCTAAGGGGAAATCCAAAAAGTTAAATCTCTATTCATAAAGTCTCTATTACACAGAAAAACAGGATTGGCTGTGTATTTGCTGTCTTGTACGCAACACAACCTGTAATTGAAGGACTGGAATCACTCACTCTAGACGGGCCTTCTGTGTGGAGTTTGCATGTTTGAAAGTTCTCTCCGGCTTCAGTCCAGAGACATACAGCTGTGGGTAATCTGCCCTGCGATAGTCTGGTGGTGAACCCTGCCTTCACCAAATGTCAGCTGGGATCAGCTCCAGCCCGAAGAGGATCATGATCATATTTGATAAATATATGATTTCTTCACGATATGATTTAATTGAAAGATTAATTATCATATTGAAATATTGCCCAGCCCTAGGGTGAAGTGAATCGGATGAACGGACTCTGTTAGGTTAGCCGTTAGGTTAGCTGTGCTCTGATAATGGACCAGAGAAGGTTTCTTCATTACTTAGCACCACGTCATGTCTCAGGCACAGCTTGTGTTTACTGAGCAGTATCAGCCGGCGTGTCATATTACCATTTACTGTATGTTTAAGTCCTATGTTTTCATAAATACTGTAATATACTGTATAATTAGCAATAGCAGTTGGGGTCAGTTCATATTTTATAACTGTGTTTGTTTCCTTACAGCCGATGCTGCAGCCTCACATGCATTCATCAGGTAAACATCTTGTTCTATGTTCTATGTTGATTTCTGGTCAGGAAAGATAAAAGGTGCGAATCATTCATCGATGTGTTGAACACTTTGAATCTCTCTCGCAGGGGTCAGCCTCAAACAGGAGCAACAGAAAGACTTCAAGAATCCATGTGCCATGCTAACAGGTGAAACATGGAGCCAGGGTCACTGTTCTGTCCTAGAGAGTCACTCATGGTTCCTCACTGCGGCTGCACCGGCTAACATATGCATGCCAATTACGACTTCATTAGAATAAGAACAACAGTTGTGCGGCAAACACATGCAGTTTCAACATATACAACATAGATTGCAGTAGTCTATAAAACTTCTGTTGGTGTTACATAACATATAAAGTATATGAATTTAGAAATCATAATACTGTAATATGAACTTTATAATTCTACTATAGAGACTGTACTAAGCATTTTTTGCTTTTCACCAAAAGCGTTCTGCCACCTTCTATGTGAATGTCTCATCAGAGCAGATGGTAAATGTAGTATTTCCCAGAAGGTTCTATAACGACAGAGAGAGCTGGTCTCTGCTGACTCTGCTTTTATATACCAGGATGCAGACAGAAAGATACAACTGTATACCTTCTGAATTTAGGTTTCTCTCCCACACTTTAACAAAGACAAGCTTAATTGGCTTGTCAACTCATCGCAAAACACACATCATTCTAATAAATCTGTAATTCACCATTAAGCTGTTACAATATGCCGCCTCTACACACTGTTTTCCCGCTGCTGTATCTCTCTCTCTCTCTGTAAAACCTTTACGCATAGCAACACACATGCATCTAGCTCTCTTGGGGTTGTCATCGATGACAGTATCCAACAAAACAAAAACGGCCCACTCTGACATTCATTACAGCAGAATCATTCTGGTTCTGTTGGCCTAGGAGGGCAATTTGAGCAAAGGCTCCACCAGTCAGTGTTTGATCTCGGCAGGTCACATTCTGGAGGTTACCCGCTGCAGCTCTATAGCTCAATACTGCTGAACTTAGAACAACAAAGATCAACAAAGATCCTCGTCCATGACTTAGTCTGCACTCATATTTTTGGGATTCCAATTTGGCTGTTGGAAAAGTAACACGAGCAAAGAGAAACAAGCAAGTGTTTGAGAGGCATACCAAAGCTGAATTAGCACACTAGAGTTCTTCCTCCCACCATCTCTGTCACTGGATGAAGGAAGAACAACAGATTTTGCAGCTGCACCCCGTAAACATTGAGAACATGGGCAAGAATAGCCATTTTCACACTTTATCCCTAACTCACACAGATAGAGATAAGGTTGAAAATAAACCCTGCCTTTCCCTTAAAAAAATGTGACTAATTTCATGTTATGTAGAAATGATATGGAAGCAGGAACACTTACAGTATAACCTTATTTTATCCCTCTGCTCTCATCCTTAGCTCCTAGAGGCAACTACGGTATTGGGACATATCTTGAATGGGAGAGTGAGGTAGGACTTGCTTTCTGTCATGGAGGTTTCAACTACTCCAGCGGGGACCTTTTGGTGCCCAGGACCGGCATCTACAGAGTCTTCCTTCAGATCACTTATGAGAGCAAGGATGACCCTAATAAGTGTGTTGATGAGCCGAGACTCTCCAACTCTGTGTTTTTTATCAGGGATGCCTACAATGACAATGTGGTTCTCCTGTCATCAGTGGACACGTTGAATTGCAGTATAGAACAGTGGAGTAAAACCCTCTACACGGCCGGCTTGTTCTCCCTAGAGGCTAACGGCCGACTACACGTGAAGTCATCCCACCCGGGCCTTATTGTGAAGTCACAACACAAGGTGTTCTTCGGTGCTGAACTTCTGCCTCAGTAGTCAGCTAGAATCCCCTGATTCTGATCTTGAATTTGTTTGCACCTTCAACTCCATGGAAATCTGAGGGTAGTTGCCATTGTAGTTTTATGGTTTCCTTTAACTATTACGGCTCATGAAAATAAGCCGCTGCTTAGTTTTGATGTTGTTATTATCAGCTCACAGAGACATACTAATGGCTTAAAGCTTAAAGGCAATACTGGAGAAACCTGCACGAGTGCACTAGATTTTGAAAGTATCCAACGTAAAAACCCAGCCCAGTGTTGCAAACTGTTTTCCAATGACGGTAGCTAGCAGCACTAGCCCCAAAATTTGCTAAATCTAGCAAGGTAATCGCCAAGTCGGCAATAATGACAGCCTGTCCCTTCAGACCTCCCTCAAAAAAGCCCCTCCCCCCAAATTATCATTATGAACATCGACAACTAACATAGCTGTTATTAGTACTCACAGCTGTCAAGCTAGCAGCTAGTGGAAGACCCAGGTGACGTGCGCGGGCAAGTGCTACTTGCCAACCTCGAGACCTAAAGAAGGGGTAGTATTTCAAAACCAAAGTGGGGGGGGGGGTCTCAAAAGTTTGAGTTTTAGGGTGCCAAGTCTCCGTGACGTCACCCACAGGTTTCTAAAGAGTCATTGAGAAGCTAAAGTGGGTGTCTCCGACTATCGCCATCTTGGCAGTGACGACTCGTGGCTAATCCAAAAATGGGCAACGAGATGAATTGTCGGTGGAGCTGAGGCGGCCCAGGTGACCCAGCAGGGCAGACTATAGCAGCTAGCTGGTACGGCACCCACCTGTCACTCAAAAGAGGCCACGCCCTCAAATTAAGCCTAACTTTAAGCCTTTATGTCATTTAAACAGGTGAGTTACATAGAAATTCACCCCCGTACAGTTGTCATGAGCAGGGAAATGTTTCTGTACCAGGCTGTATACATGTTTATTTCTTCTGTAGAGTTTGTCCTTCTAACATGGGGGTCTATGGGGATTGACTTGCTTTTGGAGCCGGCCTCAAGTGGCCATTTGAAGAACTGCAGTTGTAGGCACTTCCGAGTTGGTTTCATTTAGCCGCTCGGTGCTTTCACACTTGTAGATGGGTTCATTCCGTCTGGACCAAGAGACAAAAATGATGCATTTTAGTTCTGGTCTGGTTCCAGTTCACACTGACGTTTTACAAACAAACCAAGAGGAGTAAACATGACGTTATGCAAACTGACAAGTGACTTGTCGATTGGACAGTTTTAGCGATGGTCATCCTGCATCATCAGGACCTACGAAGGGAATTATTGGTATTATTAGAGTCCAACTGGAATTTAACAAAAGCTCCCAGTTGACTGGTGTGAACGTCGTGGAGTGCACAGACTGGAAAGCTGTTTCACTCTTTTTAATGGACTTAATGAACTGACCAAGTTGGATACAGGCATAGAAGTTTCCCTTCAGGGAGAAGACCTTTGCTGACAAGCATTCATGTACGTGTTGATTTGCATAAATAGCTGATATACTGACGTGAATCTCTGGCATGAACAATATTATATCAGTTTTCATGCATTCATTTTTTGCCTCTGCTTGAGTATTTCTCTTAGACACAACGTGACAAAGACACCACTGCGATCTTAAACTATTGTTTGCGATGGATTCGACCGTGCCAAGGTCACCTTTCGCTGCATTGAGCAAAGCCCAATGGGCACTGCGCGCTGTAATGTGCCCTGAACCCAGTGGTGAGCGCAGCTCAAACCGTGTTGTGTCGCCATTATGGATGAATAAAGGAAACAATAATTGGTGTAGCTGTATTGTTATCCGGATGGAATCCGTGGAGCGTATACACATCACGGACATTTGTAACTTCACAGCCTGTTGGCAGAAAAGGAACTGTCAACTGTATTAAATATAACTTATTTTATATGTTTGAAACATAAATAAGCATTTTGTCATGATCTTTAGTGCAGTTGATTAATTGATTGTCAGAAAAGGAAAAAAAGTTACAAATTAAGAAAAGAAGAATTCCACTAGGTGAGGATTCTCACGGTCTTACATCATTGTCCATTAAAGACCTTTGTGATCTGGACTGTTGGTCCGACTAAGCCAAGCCTATCACCATGTACACTTCATCTCAAAAGCTGAATGTGCTTAGTGCTGCAGGACAACATGCGTTATTTAGTGTTCAGCATTAAAGTAACTTCAATAAACTGACCAATTGTGTTGTAATACCAGACACGGCCGAACCCCTCAATTAATATTTATATTGCTAACTCAGTGAGTTTGATAAGGAAGGCTTGAAGAGTAAACAGTGAAGTTACCGGCAGACGCACAAACCCAGTCCACCTAATTACTGTTTTATGGTTTGTCTGAATATGTTTGTTTATTAAGTAATAAAGAGATAAAATGCACTTTGCAACTAGATTAAAGTAGATGTAATGTGCGAACCAGCACAGTATGACCAGCTCTGTCTGAAAGGTGAGGTCACAACTGTCTGCATGTCTGACTCGAGATGCTTGAGCAACGTCAGAATAGTTGCTGTAGATCTGCTGATGGATTTAAAAGGTATCATTACACGCCTGCTGTATTGATGAATTTGGCTTCTGTACCCGATGGGACTGTAAGCTGATAAAAATATATGGAAATGGTTTTCTCTGTTATTTATCACATGCAAGGTGCTGTTGATCAAGTATGCTTACATAGGCACATTTAACAAGGGTAAAGATGTGTGTTTGATTCATTGTTTGCGGGGCACTGTGTACTCCAAGTTGGTGCTATGCAAATTGACATTTTCCTGCTTTGACAGACATGTTTTGTGATCATTCATGTTTGTATGTGTGCTGTAAAAGAAAAGTTAAAAATAAAAACGTAAATGACAAAACACTAATCTTTTTCCTTCTTTCAGTGGAGAGTTTTTGATTTCTGGCCTAACTCTTGAGACATTGAGACATTTCCCAAATGCTTCTCTCACTAGCTCAATAAGCTGCTGTCAACATACTGTTTCAATCTTTGTTGTTCTTCCTCGGGTTTAAAATATCCAGTTTGGCGTAAAACGTAATGTAATGAAAACAAAGACGTAATATTACTGTAAATCACTCTAAATTGACGAAACTTGCCAAATTTGCCACAAAAAGTCTGAATAGCCTGAGGACCATCTGATGACTAAGACAATGGTTAATCAGCAGCCAGAATAGCTGCGTAAGAGAAACATTCCAAACCTTAATTCATGCTGATGACTCAGGCATGCATAAAGGAAGCCATTCTACAACAATATTATGGTTGTAAGCAGGATGTGGAGTCAGCGATTATGATTATAATGACCGGTTATCTCATAGCAGGTGCCAAACAATAAATCATCCCTCTGTGTTTGTTCACAGCTTTGTCAGGACATGAATATTTGGAAGCCATATACGTGTATTTCCCAATTTCTCAGACTCATGCTTCGCTTCTCCTTTAACTTCTGGGAAGAAACACTCACCACTCATTGTCACAGATACATTCCTTTATTCATTCATTACAGAGCCCGAGGGCGCCAGAAATCCCCAAACTGAGTTAAAGTATTAAAGATTTAAAAACGCAAAAACACAAATATATATATATTAGTGCTGGGCAACGATTAAAATATTTAATCGCGATTAAAATATTTAATCGCGATTAATCGCATGGATTTTTTGCGATTAATCGCATTGTTATGGCAAAGTTCAATAATTAATTCAAAAGTAGTGTATTGCGCACTTTTATTTTAAAAGTACTGCTATATGAAGAAAAGGGAAATAACATTTGGTTCACGAGATGCAGGTAGCATGTTTTATACTTAATGTGAATATAATTCATACTTTGTTGGCATCTTATTCTGAAAACCGGATGTCCATCTGAAGAAACCGGATGTCGTCTCACGTTAATCTTTCCGCTAACTTTCAAAGTCCTTCGCTCGCTCCCGATCTGTGCCGTTTAAATGCGTTTACCTTGAATTTCAGCATATAGGTGCACTAACATGTAAGTGTCTGCTGAGTTGACCACGGAGATCTGAGTGTCTGCTGACTTTACCGCAGCGATGTCCAGTAGTCTCCAGGGAGAGCAACAGCTGGTGCAGCTTCTCTCTTTATTTCTGCCCCCCCCTCGACCAGAAGCGGAAGTCGCCTTTTCTCTACGGCAACCCTGAAGGGACATCATATCTCCAATACAAAACGATAAACATGAGGCAGTCTGACTATAGGATGTTTGCTGGCTTTTATCCCACTGTTCTTGTCATCCTCTTGTTGTTATTTATATGTATTGTCTCTTGTCTTTCAATAAAAAAAATTAAAAAAATTAATAATAAATTTTAAAAATGCGTTAACGCGCTATAAAATAATTGCCGGCGTTAATTAATTAACTTGCCCAGCACTAATATAGCACTGTATATAAATATATATATAGTAATAAATACAATACTCATTGAATAATGAGCAAAAAATATATACAATAGAATCTTTTACACATATCTCAGATGCGAGGTGGACACAGTGCAAGTAGTGCAAAATGAAATGCAAAGTATAACTGTAAACTTTTGGATCAGATAATTCAAACAAGGTGAAAGTATGAGTCCAGCTTTAGATTGTTTCTTGTCCTAAATGTGTTAAAGGGGAGTGTGAGGGCAGCGAGCAGGAAAGACCTCCTGTAGCAGAGCTGGATCCGTCTCTCACTTGAAGTGCTACATTATTTACTAGGAGGCAGTAATTAGGATGACTCCAGGGTGGTTCCCAGACCCAACGGTCTGGTTTGGTCGCCAGCTCTGATGCCACGGCCTCAGCACATTGAGCACAAGAGACTGTTAAAGATCTGCAACAAAGATCTGTACACATTAAAGGACCTGAGTTTCCTCAGGAGGTAAAGTCTGCTCCGTCCTTTCCTGTCAACAGCCTCAATGTTATATTTGCTGTCCAGTCTGTTGTCAAAGTGAACTGATAGATACTTGTCGTTGTCCACCACCTCCACCAGTGGCGGAGCCAGACGTTGTAAACATCTGGGGCTCAGGCCAAACACAGAAGGGCGATTTGTTTCCCCATTTACAACAGCAAGACATGTCAAGCCATTTAAGAGATAAGATAAGATAATCCTTCATTAGTCCTGCAGCGGGGAAATTTACAATTATTAATAGAATGCTTAAAAATCTGAACATCATTTGGGAAAAACATGGTTGGCAATGGAAAAATCCCACTTTCGGGCCTCAATTCTATTTTCTATGACATCAAACCACAACAAATGTTGAGAATGACACATTTTGCATTTGAAGTCTTTTGAGAAAACATTGGGAGCAGGAGACCCAGAATGACCCCGCCCCCTCCCTGACATCCCCCTCCTCTCCCAGAATGCTAATGGTCAGCAGCAGTTCTTGTTCTCCTGAAGTCCATGACCAGCTTGGACTGTTGGTTTTCATAGCTGTAGAATCCAGCTGGTCAGAGTAGCACATCACTCTCTGGAATAATGACCACATGCACAGGCTCCCCCCCAGCAGCGATGTGTTTTATCATCTTTATTGTTTATCTTATACACCAACAATTAGCACTTTCCCTAATAGATTTCCTGAATACACTAAGTATGTTACAAGTACAGTGGGGACTTCTGTGATTGTGTTTTGATGAAATATCTTGTGATTGTGCTGCAAACCAATTTCCCCACAATGACAAATAAAGTATTTATCTATCTATTCTATCTCCTGGGTTTTGGTGATGTTCAGGAGTAGGTGGTTCCCTCTGCACCACTCAGTGAAGCCCCTGTACTCAACTCCCGTCCACCTTTGATACACCTAACTACTGCAGAGCCATCCAAGATGACAGGAGTGTGGGTTGTACTAAAGGTCTGAGGTGTAAAAAGGAACAGAAGAGGCTACAGGACGGTGGCCTGCGGTGCTCCCGTGTTGCTCATCACCGTGTCCGACATTCAGTTGTACAACAGCACAGACTGCGGCCTGCATCCTGTGAAGCTTCTCACTCAGAACCTGGGGCTGGGTTGTTGAACTTGAGAAGTCAAAAAGCATGATCCTTTAAGTGTCTGTTCATGTGTAACACTGGTGAAGGGCCCCTTTACACTTGCATATCATACAACCTGAATAATATTCAAGTGATGTAATACTGTTCTAAATCAGTGAGCACGGAAGCTTTCCTTCCTCTCTGCTACATGCTGTTGTGTATGTAAGGCATACAGCAGGAAGTTTGTGGGCTACGCCTCAGGGTCTGGATTTGTGTTTCTGATCTCGTGCAGTTTAAGGTTTTTGATTTAAAGCGCTAATGCATAGATGCATAATGCATTGGTCTTGTTTTTTCACGAGATGGTGTGAAGGTAATTAATAGTATATTTGCAGTAACACAAATCATTATTAGTTGGAAACGTGTAAAAAGTTAGCAACAGATAAAGGATTTGGAGCATCTTCCTTAAACATAGGCATCCTATTACGATAGGAGAGACGGCAGAGTGACAGGATTGCAATGATACTTAAAGAGCAACACCCAAGGACAGATTGACTCGAGGAATACAGGCAGAGAGTTGATCGGCAAGATATGGTGACGCTGGAATTTGTGAATGAAAGGAACTATGACAGCAAGAAAGCATAGGTGAGAGGAAGGATAACAACTGGGCAAACAGACTACATTCAACAGAGGAATGGAGGCAAAATATCTTCACTATTAGTAAGCGTGTACATTTCATCTCACAAATTGAATGTGATTAGTGCTGCAGGACAACATGGGTTATTTAGTGCACAGCAAGTAACTTGAATAGCAGCCCAGATGTAGTGTAATACCAGACAAGGCTGATGTAATCTATGGCTCATCAGTGGGTTTGACAAGAAAAGGTTCAAGAGTAGGCAGTGCAGTTACTGGCAGACACACAAATCTGGCCTACGCCCATACACTGCTGCTGTCACCATCACATTTTATGGTTTGTCTCAACATGTTATGGTTATCAAGAAGTAAAGATTAAAATGCAGAACTACTTTCACCAATGCAAAGGACAAAACTGTTTTTTTGTACAGTTTTAAGTTTAGTTATTGGTGTCAGTAGGCATGCTTCGAGTGATGCTGGAAAATGTTGTGCTCAACTGTTCTGTTCAAAATGATTAATAATCATTTAATCATTTCATTTAAAACAGCAGTATGTCCTATGAGAAGTGTGTAGTTGACCCACACATGGTGTCAAAATGAAGGGCTAACTAATATCATTTTAATAAATATGTACTCTCAATTCATTGAAGTTATATTGTTATTATATTATAATTATCATTGTTGTGAAACTAGACTATGAAAGAGAATGAGCCAGCAATGTAAACTAGACATAAGTTCAGAATTTTGAAAAAATATTTAAATATATATATTTATTAAGCCTTGAGATCATCTTGCAAAGGGTTCACACCAGCAGCAAAGCAAAACAGAGTCTGGGGTGTACATGGTGAAGATCATCAGCTACTGGTGAGGAAAAGCAGAGACTTTTCTTCATCCTCCTTTCTGTGCTTCACTGAGAGATGCTGTGTGTGGAGCGGACCAACCTGCATACAGGCACAAATCAAAGCTCTGTAGACCTGTTGTGAGGAAATCAAAGCAGTGGACCAGTGAAGCTCTGGAGGATCTCCGGGCATGCTTGGACTGTACAGACTGGGATGTCAGAACTGCTACCAACAGTCTGGATGAGCACACAGAGGTTGTGACATCATACATCAGCTTCTGTAAAGACAGCTGTGCACCATCATGCACCAGGTGAGTTATAACAACAACAATACATTTTATTTGTATAGCACACTCAAAGGCACTTTACATGGTCAAAACAGAAACCATAAAAGCAATAACAATATAAACAAAATAGATGCCATAAGAGTAAGGAACAGCAGAAAAACA